TACGGTGTCGAATAATCTGGTGTCGAATCGTACGGTGTCGAATAATTTGGTGTCGAATAAATCTGTGTCGAATCGAGCGGTGTCAAATCGTACTGTGGTCAATAGAGTACCACCCGCTTATTCAGCTCTCTGTTTCATATTTCTTATATATCTTTTTTTCCCTTATCATCACTTCTGTTATCTTCGTTTTCATATTATTTTGTAACCAATCTTTTCTTTCTACTATTTCTTATATTATTTCTTTTATATTATTTCTGCTCTTTTACACGCGTAATAAACTGTCAATTACCTATTAATTCGTGCTGATTAATTACAATTCTCTTTCCTTTATTCGAGCTTCCTATCGCGAGGTCAAGGGACAGCCTGTATTCCGAATTTTTGCTGAAACCCCGCCTCTCTCCGTTCCCAAAAGAGCTAGTCGGCCCGTCGTGCCAAGTGACGCTGATTTTTGACGCGACTCCGCGTCTGGCGCCCAAACCGACACCCAAGTATTTGTCGACTCGACCAGGCGGTGCTCGTTCCGGGCCATCTTTTCTCTCCTGCCAGTGATTTGACGTTGTCCTCTCGCGGACGCTCACCTAAGTCCCGGGAAGTAATCTCCGTTTGCGGGGGAGCGGCGCGAGAATTACGTTACCACCGCGAAAAACGTCACAGGATATACTCACATTTTCCGCACAACACCTTGCAAACGGCTCTTAATGACCTTATATTCATATATTAATTTAGAAATTACAGAGCCCAAGAGTAATCTCTATTAATTACTACTTGTTGAATTTACACGCTGGTCGAAAAAGCGATATTAAAAGTATCAGACCTTTTTTGATAGCTGTATAAAGGAGTGCAAGACAAACTCCAAGTGCCTCGGAGACAAACTCCAAGTGGTTTAACAGGGAAGGAGACGACCCGGAAAATCGGAGATTCTAGGTTCGACTCCTGGCTGAGGAGTTGATTCGCAATATTTTAAAAAGGGGGGTATTCGGAATCCTTTATATATTTGGTGTAAATTTAGCATCCTATATGATTTAAAGAATTGTAATTTCAATTCTAAAAAACTCACGTGAAAAATATTACACGTAACTACATATATACAGGGTGTTTCAGAACTATGGGATCAAACTTCTAGGGGTTATTCAGTGCAACAGTAGAAAACATTTGAGTATAGGGACCCATGTCCGGAAAAGTGTCACTACCGCACTACGGCCCTAAGACGCGTTAAAATTTAGAAAGACGATGAA